TGTTTGTAGGCTCCCTTTAGGTCCTGAAAGGCTGCAATGAGGTCACCCCGCAGCCTTCTTTTCTCCAGGCTTTTCTCCAGCTCCTTCAGCCTGTCCTCATAGGGGAGGTGCTCCAGTCCCCTGATCATTTTCATGGCCCCGCTCTGGACCCTCTCCAACAGTTCCCTCTCTTGACAAATCTAACATTTGATACTTCTCACAAAGCGTGCAGGTGCTCCTTTTATACTTTCTGGGCAACGTGCACATGTAATATGTTGGAATATAGATCTCTATATTGTTGTGGCCAAGGAGGCTGGTTGCACCCTGGCTTGTATCAACAGTAGTGCAGGCGTTGGGAGGGATCATCCATCCATACCTCCATATTAGTCTCTCCAACTGCCCAGGGAGCATTGGGGTCACCATCCCTGAAGGTGTCCAGACCCATAACATGTGGCATTAAGGGATGTGCTCAAGTGGGCATGGTGGGGATCTCAAATTCTGGGTCTTTTCCAACCTTAATGATTCTATGGCACAGCTCCCTGGAGCAGCACGTGTGATGGAAGCAGTGCAGTCGTAACCTCACAGCTAGTGGGAGTTGAGTGGTTGGTGCAGATCTTTCCAACCTGTGTGTAACTGAATATCTGCAAGTGGAGTGAGGAAAAGGGATTTTCTCCACCCAGCATTGCCCACTTGCCTTTTAAAACAGGAAAGAAATTGGCTCATGGAGAAATGAAATGCCTCATTATATCCTCATGGCACTTGATGCTGTGCAGCACTCTGTCACCACTTTCTGCAGGTTATTTCCCCTTTTTCTTTGCATGCTCTGTAAAAACAAGAGGAGAAGCACAGCAGACACGGTCACTTCCTCCTTTTCTGTTCTTCCCTGTAAAAAATGAAAGGAATTTCCTGGAAGGAATGCACTATCTAATGCGAATATAAGAGTTATGGTTTTTTTGTTTGTTTTCAAGGAGGCTGTTTTCCTATTTATTAGTCCATTATTGGATCGAGCAAAAATAGAATAGCTTTATCACAGAATTTAATCACGAGCATTGTATTTAAAAACTGATATTATCAGCCCACTAAAGATTTAAATAGTGCCAATTAGAAACAGGACTGGAAAAAGCCTCCAGTACAGTAACTGTTAGACGAGGGTTTTTCAAGCTCAGGTAAAATGAGCCTTCAGTGGCTCCTTCTTCCAGCAACCAGTAGTGGGCACATACCAAACACTGGCTGCAGTTCTCTGTTTTTCTCATCAGTTTTAGTTTAGTTTAGTTTTTTAATTTCAGTACCTTCCAGGAAACAGCAGCATGCATCTCATGGGATTGTTGACTGAAGTTGCACTTTAAAATATATATTTGAGAAGTGAAGCATTAGTGTGTGCCAGCTGAAGAGCCTGGAATTCCAGAGAGAAACTGTTAGAGCATGGACTGACTCCCCAGAGCAGTCTCCCATACTGCTGAGCAGCTAGGCAGGTGGATCAGCAGGGAAGCACAAAGGTAAAGCTAGTGAATCTCTTGACTGAACTGCAACAGTTTCTAAAATTGGGGTACCAAATACTATTTTATGGCTGGACATCTCTTTACACAAGCTCATCTTGACACAGAACAGTGCCATGTCAGGACTATGGTACTGATATTAAAATAAGTCTATTAAAAGTTACCTGACTGTTGGAAATTCGTAGATATCCAAGTCAGAGTGGGAAGGTAAGATCAGTTGCAGAGTAGCTTTATTATCTAGGGCACAGAAAGCAGCTGACTTTGCTGGCTTTTCCCTCCACAGCAGCCAGGGTAAAGCTGCCTGGCAGGAATGGTGCCGGGGCTGAGAGGTGTGGACCCCCAGGCAAGCCCCCCTGACACATCTCACACTCTTCCCTGTATATACAAATATATTACTTATTTACTTTTCTTTTTGGATGCTATCTTTGACTACTTTCAGCCAGCCATTGTTGTTTGATATCAAATATGCCTCAGCTCTTATTTACACAGTGTGTGATGGTTTACAGGAATGCATCGTGGAGTAATAGTGAAAATAATAGTGGAAATCAAAGCAGTTTCTTTCATAGGACAAAGACCCTGATGTTGTAACCAGCAGCATGCAGGCCGGCTGCTGTGTGGGCTACTCGAGGAAGAGGTTCAGCTGAAATCCCCACCATTACCTTCAGTTACATGAGACAGCCAAGTTTCTCCAGCTGCAGCAGTCCAACTCTTTCAGTGTCTCTCATGTGTAGTAGTGATGACAAGACAAGGAATAAGCCTAGGTTGCTGTGCTTCAAACACCAATACTTCATCAAATGAAGAATGCTAGAGATAGTAGCTCTAATAATAACAATTTATAATAGTTAGAAACTTAGACTTAACTGCAGTGATCATGAGCAATTAGAACCTTCTTTCAGTGCTCCCAAATTACTTTTTCTTTCATAAACCTGCAGTTCAGAAAGCTAGTTTTTACCAGTTTGCTACAGTAAGAGTAGAATGTAATGCAATAACACGTAATAATCTGTCATTTTGACTTAAGTAGATCAGAAGGACAACATTTTGGCTAGTGCACAAAATGGGGGCAGGAGAGAACGGCAGAGAAAAGATTATAAAGGTCTGAACTCATCCTCTCTGTTCCTTCATTACACTCTTGGTATAATGTGGGCCCAACTCCAGACTTGGCTCTTTATAAAGATTTCATGAAGGTAAAAATAAAAAGTGACTAAACCGATCTGTCATCAGCAGTACCTAACTGCATATGTACCAAAGGCAGGAGCTGGGCTCATGGCCTTGCCCTGTCAATGAAAGTTTGCTGACACGATGCTGTCAATGGCTTTGTGAAGGTATGGTGGGAACACAAAAGAACACATTTAGGTAAGTAAGACACACATGTGCTTTGGTTTCTAACCTTCAACACCATGCAAGTGTCCAGAAATGTTACCTGAAGTGTACTGTGTTCAGAAAACAGACTACCAAACAGTGCTGCTGCTCAACTACAGTAATTTGACTTCAGCATACACTTTGGAGCTTGCATTCTCCAGTAAAATGCATTTTCTACACACTGCATCATATGCCTCACAGAGGAAAACCTTGTTAACACCACAATCCTACACCAGTAGTGTAAAAAAAAAAAAAACTAGAGGTTTTCAAGGGAGAATGCCTCTTACCAAAACAATCTATGCAAAACAAACCAGCTTTCAGATACAGAAATAACGCAGCTTATGTATCAGAAAGCTTATCTAGTAAATCACAGTTGCAGCATACAAAAATACATACTTCACTGTTGATTGATTTCATCAAAGAAAGGCTTAGAAATATACCAGTCCACTAAACACCACAAAATGGCATTTTACAAACGAATAGTTGAATAAAGTTTTCCTTACTGTTTGCCACTCAGACTGCTCACTGGTCAGAAAATAATGGGTACAATAATGAAGTAAAGAGTATTTGGAGGGAAGCCCTGCCTTCCCTCCACAGTGCTAGTGACACAATCCAGCAAGCCATAAAGCTTCACTGTGGACTGAATCCTCCTCTCTTTCAGATCATTCCAGGACTTGGTGTGAAGTATTACCTGCAGTTTACTACTGAAGGCTACATAAACGGGGTAAGTTTACCATCCAACACATCTTCTTAGAGTGTCTGTTAAACTCTTAACAGCTTCAAAACGGTATATTTAAGTGTTTTTGCAAATGGGCCTTTCACAATGTAAGGACTTTAATGCTTTTACCTGTCCAGCACGGAGCACAGTTTGCACTTAGTAACACCTGAGTATCTCATCTATCAGCTCTTCTCCTCTGCAGGGGTACAACTGTAGTTTTCTGCTTTGCTTGCTGTCTTAGTAAGTCACATCAGGCAACAAAGCTTCTGAGCCAGACTTTGCAGTGGTCCAAACTCAGGGTTACACTGTGGTCCTCATCCAGCTGTAGCTCCTGCTGTGTCCACACACCACAATGAGAGTAGATATATAGCTGATATATTTTTTTTTAAATACTACCATCTCTCCATTCACTGTCACAGCTGTCACTAGTAATTTTACCACAAGCATCTGTTCCTCTATTACACACTTCTTATAATATTCAAATTACTTTCAGAATTTAATATAAAGCGTTAGATTATTTTTCTTTCAAGGCAGAAATATCATACAATGAAAGTCCCATTATCAGTATTATTTCTTGAGAACTTGCAAACACATTTCTAAGATGACTCGGTACATTTCTGTTACATCTTGATTTAAAAGTTTTGTTAAATCACTGTCATCTTGTGGCTTAAATTTCTTTAACTTTCTGGAGAAAAAAATAGTATTATGTACATCCTTTAAAGGTTTTTTTGATCTTACAGCTTCATACAAAGCATCTCATGTACTTTCTCCAAATGTGTGCTTCATTTATCACTACAAAGAGCTTTTTAAGAATGTGTTGCTGGTAAATGAAGTGTTGATTAAAGGTAACAGTCTGTAATTCTACCTTTACAGGAAAATGCTGGGAGCTGCCTTGCTACAGTCTTGTACCTAAAGAAGTCTCCACCTGAAGTCTATATCAAGTGTGCGCACACTCAGGATAAGAAACAAATCCAAGAAGAGGACAACAAATTTTACCATTATCTTCATCATCAAACGAAACCAATAATTGCAAATAATATTCCAGGTACACTCCTCCAAACAATCAACTGCACTTCATTTTATATCAAAGAGTTTGCACGCTTACGAACACAAGCAAATGAACATGCAATTCAAAAAGCATAAATGCAAAGTAGAACCCTAAAACTATAGGGCTAATTAGCAGAACAACTCACCTCACCAGAAATTCTTGGGGAGAACAAAACAACCAAACGTCTTTAGCAGCACTGTGGTAGTCAACACAATGTTGTGAACATGTTCTGGTTTTAAAAACCAGACTGTACAGTTTTACAGTCAAGTAAATGCAAAATATTCTGAAATAACAGCAACTGCCTGAAGCCACAAACCTTCCACAGCTGTGGACAGGAATTCACACGGGATGGGTAACAGAATTCTTCCATCCTGGAAATGGAGCACCCGGGTACCTCTTTTCCTCCTGATTAAGTAATGACCTCCACTATTGTGGATATTGGGTTTCTCACCTCATTGAGGGGAACCTCTGAGTAACATCTCTTGGTAATTTCACTTCCATCATGCTCGCATATTTCTGTGGTCACAGTAAATTTAGGGTCAGTTAATTCTCCTCCCTGTTCATGACTGTAAAGTGCCTGAGGAAAGAGCCAGTTCCCAGGCATGGTGCTATGCCAGACAGAAACGCTCTGTGGCTTATCCTGTTTCTGATGAGCAGCCAGAATTCATCATCTTTATATGACTCTCTTTCAGACAGCCATGGAAATATTGACCGTGCCCATCTTCCATTGTGGGGCTTGGCTATTGCTGGTAGCAGTTACATCATGTTGGAGAAGTCAACAGAGAACTTGGGTTACTTCATGGCACAAGTCAAGGCTGTGAAGCAGCGGGTAAGCAAAGTGGAAATTACACGTCTGCCTTACAGAAGGTGACAGCCTTTAGTGGCAAAGAATAAAACAGCTGCCAACATCTCCTACTCTCTGTAATGGCGGTGGTTCTTCCAGAAGTGGATCTGTTGGCTTCTGCAGGTTTAATCAGAAGATTTGAACAGATGATTCTGCAGTTCATCAGCCCCATACCATGTGCTCTTTGCCCCCTACCCAAACTTCAGGTTAGCACCAGTCCAATATACATTCTGGTGAACATACCTTACACCTACAGCCTACAGAATAGGAGTTCCCAAACTTTCTCTTACTCATCTGTGCATTCTTTTTTCACTCCTAAGTTACATAGAATAGCATTTCTCTGAAGGAGAGTTTAATAGACAAGATTACCACATTTATTTGAGGATTAACTTAATGAATTATTACCTGTGTAAGCCTAGTTTCATGCCAGGGTACAGACGTACACTGTAGTTACGGTCTTTGAAGTTTTATGCAGTAAGTGCTCCTAATTCCCCCTCTGTTCATATGCAAAAACCTGTCTTACTCCAGCCAGGTATCACAGCCATCTTAAGCCCTATTCAACTCACTTTCTATGCAAGCTAAGTGCATACAAGTGAATCAGGGTAGATTCTAAACTTCAGCAGTATAACTTGTGTTCTTATTTGTTTTCCTTTGATGCATGACCAGATAAGGAAGGACAGTGCTGTTGAGTTTGAATTCATTGTCTTGCTCCATGAAACTCCAACACAGGTAAGAAAGCATATTCATACAATACCTACCTCCATCAATAGAGAAATGGTATAAAGATCAAAAAAGACAATTATTGTAAAATCTCTTCTCCAGAAAATAGAGCTCTGTCACATGCACCTCATTTGGACACTCAGTCCCCCTCTGAGAGTGAAATACATCTGCACTTCAGATAACCACTGGCTCGAAGATGGATCAGGACAGGACTATGGATCAGCTGCTGGACTGTTTCATGAAAAGGAAGGGAATTTTTAAAAGCGATTGTTAGCTTTATGCACACATTAAATGGGAAACCTTTGTGTAACAGGCCTGAAGTTGTGATCATTTTTCAATCCAAGCCTCATTACAGTAAATTTGAATCATCTATTTGTTCCAGAATGAACCTCTATAATTTCTCTAAATTAATGTTCTAGGGACCTACCTAAAAACTTTGCTACTATACATACACAGAGAAGTATACACAAGTTGATTATGTCATTAACTTTCTGTTACTTACAGTAACAAAGTTTCTGAACAAAATTAATATATCAGATAAAAATCTTGAGAAAAGTACTAATCTGTCACTAAGAGATATTTGCTATTTTTTTTGAGATAGCTACCTGCTGATTTTTAAATAACCTCCAATAAAATAAATACCATTATACATAGTGGAAGTTGGATTTTCTTTCATGACGCTGCTGTTAGACCCCAACTTTCCATCCTCTCTTGGTACTTGAAAATACCTTTAAAAAGCTGTGGATGAGCAGCAAAATCTTTCCCCACAAAGCCCTGCAGAAGCCAGAAACCACCACCTGCACTGTCCCAGTCTTCCTGATGTGCTATCAGAGGTCTGTGATCAGCTATGAGGATTCAGGTATTTAACATGAAGGTTTATCTGGGGGCTATTTAGGCTGGGTGATCTGATATCCTCCTGGATTCAGGCATTTTACACAAGTTTATTGGAGTGATGTACTTTTACCGACTGCAGGTTTTTATGTCAGCACATAACAGACATTACAATAAATTCAGTGAGGCAGTATCTTACATACGTTTTGCGTTGGCAAGACATTTCTCATCATCAAAAGCACAAAGTCAGAGCATTTAATGGCAACATTTCTTCAGTTAAAAAAGAAAAAAGATGATAAAAATATTTTTTAGAGTTAAAACAAGCACATGCTGTGCACTCTGAGGCTCTATTTTAGCAATACACTTAATTGCAAGTTTGATTTCCTTACTCCATTCTTGCCACAGCTCTCCGTATCCAGTACAGAAGTACTTCCAGACCAGTGTCAGGCAATGCAATCTTAAGGCAGTTAAGCAACTGCAGAATTGTAACTTCTGGAAAAGTAGCAACCCTGCTGGAATTCAAAGGCAAAATATCCACCAACTTATCAAGGGCCAAAACTTCATTTGATCAATCAGAACTTGAAACGGTAGGTTTTTACTCAAGCAAAATTACTGGTTAAACCAATGCAGTCATGATCTGAGCTGAGGCTCAGACTGGTTCACAGTGAATTCTTCATGTTAAGAAAAACCAAGATAGCGTACCTCTGTGCTGTAAGAGGCTGTATACAGACAAGAGAAGACAAACTGTTCTCTTTCACAGAAACACCAAGGTTGGAAAAGACCTACAAGATCATCCAGTCCAACCACCCGCCTATCACCAATAATACTCGCTAAACCATATCCCTCACACAACATCCAAACATTCCTTGAACACCTCCAGGGTCAGTGACTCCACCACCTCCCTGTGCAGCCCATTCCAGTGCCTGACCACTCTTTCAGAAAAGTAGTATTTCCTCACATCCAGCCTGAATCTCCCCTGGTGCAGCTTGAAGCCATTCCCTCTAGTCCTGTCACTATTCACACGAGAGAAGAGGCCAACCCCCAGCTCGCTACAACCTCCCTTCAGGTAGTTATAGAGAGCAACGAGGTCTCTCCTGAGCCTCCTCTTCTCCAGACTGAACAATCCCAGCTCCTTCAGCTGCTCCTCATAAGGCCTGTGCTCCAGACCCTTCACCAGCTTTGTTGCCCTTCTTTGAACACGCTCCAGGGTCTCAATGTCTTTCTTGAAGTGAGGGACTCAAGACTGGACACAATACTTGAGGTGCAGCCTCACCAGAGATGAGAACAGGGGAACTTTTGCTGCTAGGAAGAGCTCAACTAAGTCAAAATCCACTATTCCCCCAACCTGTAGACCTTTCTCCCTTGCGTTTAAGTCCAGTAGAGCCCACTATGCCTCAGTTATCCCTACAAAGTGCCACTCGTGGTCTGATCATGTGTTAGCTTTATGGAGAATCAGCACACATCTGGCAGAACCTATTAGCCAAGAATTCCCATTGTGACTGGCCTCTAATAAGCAATGTAAAAGCGTAACATAAATATAACTAAAAATGATAAGTACCCCATCTCTCTTTACATTGCATTCACAACACATACATAAAACATCCCTGAATTCTGATGAACAAGCTATAATATTCCCTTATTTTTAAAACTCTCCAAATGTCAGAGTACCCGCAGGGCTTTTTCTTGGAACTACTTCCAGCTGAACGTTTTCACAAGAACAAAAGCTACGGATGTGAGGGAATCACGAAAGATGTAGCCCAAAGCAACAACATACTTCTATACAACACCGTACCTGCATCTCGTTACCATTTACATGCCCCTGACAAATCTCTGACACTGTTCTCATTCCAAGTTTAAAATAAGTCATTTCCACTGCATTTCTGTGAATGCTATAGAAAAGAAGCCCAGCCACTGCAGTACTATCTGCATCTGGTAAACATCAACCACAATCCTGTGCCAGGAATGTAGTTGGTTTTGAACTGGAACTTCCTCCTCTGTTTACTGGAAATCTGCAAAAACGCTGCTAAACTGAGTAAGTCAAGAAAAGAGAGTGTGCAACCAAAATCCAGAGTAGATCTGGTAATAATCAAATGAAAATTGATGATTATATCTTCTCTTTCTCACCTAATTGTCACCATCCTTGTTTGAGCTCTCCTCTACAAGTAAGAAAGATCTATCCAGCTGATTCCCAAGCTAAACAGCAGCAGCAGCATGCTCTCCTAACTCCAGGGTTCTAAAAAACAAAGGAATCCCTTCATTTTCTGAATAAATGCCAAGAAAGTAAGAACATGCAATAAAATCCTACTGCTTCCCATTTTGAAGAGAGTTAACTTCTATGGCCATTCCTGTCAACTCTTTTCAAATGCCTTGAACCACGAGTGATAAGCAGACTGCTGGTAAGTTAACTGCACTGACAAATGACCTTGTCCATTTCATTATGGCTTTGTTGTTTCTGAAGAATGAGGAGGAAACATTCATTCTGTGGACTGTATGCTGTCAGTGAACTACAGGAACAAAAGGATCTGTGCTTGGAGCACTAACATTAAAGACAGCAGCACACGACGATTCATTTCCCATGCCTACCCAGAGCTTCTGTTCAATCTCCTAAATTAAAGCCTTCAAACTTTCAGAGAAACAGCAATTAGCCTACTTACAAAATAATTATTTATCAAGTAAAAAAATAAAATTATTTTAATACAAAAGAATTAAGACAAATTTCAGGACAAATTCTTATCAATTTGTAACATTTCTGTATTTCGTCAGTGAGCAGCATTTACATCTGAACAATTCAGCTGTCATCTCCCAGTGACTGCTGACAATACCACGAAGGAAGGATATTTGAATGGAATTGTAAGTCTGAGTCCCACTGCAGCCTGCACAACTTCCAGCCAGGCTCAACTGCTTGTATGTCTGAGCAACCAAGCTCTTCCAGAAGATTGTGAAAACTGTTCCATGTACTCAAGAGGAAAAGTCAGCTTTTAGCTTTGCCCTTTTTTGCAGGAAGTCGTCCTGTTGCTTCGAGGTATTTGTTAATTACTTCTTCTTGAGTACTGGGCAAACATGGTTGATACTTACTGTATTCCATTGTATATTCACCTTTCCCCTGAAGAGTTGGAGAAAGAATAATCAGAGTTAGGTGCTAAGCAAGGAACCTTCCTTAGCTGTAGGCCGTACTCCAATCTGTGACCTAATGTGCACAAATAACTTACAGAGAAGCACACAAACACTGTACTGAGGCATGTAGACAGCGACAAAGATAAACAGTATCTGAACGTTGTTTGAGACAAGATTGTAAGGCTGTCTGCAGTAATAAAGCTCCATTTGAATGCTCAGAGAATACAGGTATTTGTGCCTGTATTCACTATATCTGTATTCACTGTATCACTATAGGTGGAATAGAAAATTTTAATTTACACACAAGGAAAACAATCTCAACTGATTCAAATGAGCATCTAACTCTAAGATTATGTGTTGTTAAGAAAGGAATCACAGAATCACAGAATCGCAGGGGTTGGAAGGGACCTCCAGAGATCATCGAGTCCAACCCCCCTGCCAAAGCAGGTTCCCTACACCAGGTCGCACAGGTAGGCGTCCAGGCGGGTCTTGAATATCTCCAGAGAAGGAGACTCCACCACCTCCCTGGGCAGCCTGTTCCAGTGCTCCGTCACCTCACCTAAAGAAGTTCTTGCGCACATTGGTGCGGAACTTCCTATGCTCCAGCTTCTGGCCATTTCCCCTTGTCCTGTCTCCGCACACTGCTGAAAAGAGTCTGGCCTCACCTCTCTGCCCCCACACCTCAGATATTT